AGAAGCATACTTGGGAGGTTATTGAAAACCTCATGATGATCACGAATGATTGTGTAAGCATATATGCCAGAGATGATCATTTGGCGAGTGGAACTGCCATCGATCATATAGTCCATTTCAATTCCATTTTCCCAAACATAGTGTCTCAGATTGAGATCATCAATGGATCTCAGACGAGTTCTTCCCTCGTCCAAAAAGATAGGCACTATGATCGGTCGATCTGTTGCCTGCGCAAACAACATACCCCGTACTCCATGTGTTTTCGGCTGAGATCGTAATATTAATTTGACATGAAGATTTCGAACTAAATTCACAAACATTGTTTTTACAAGCTTCTTCGACCACGAGCATCACATCTTCGTGTGATGTCGGCACTCCAGGAGGATTTCCGAACGAGATTGAGTTATGAATGCAATTCAAATTGTAACATTTCCGAGATAATCACCAAAGAAAGCTTTGGCCATTGAACATGGCAAAAGGCGAGATTCCGTCTCCCCATTGAATGAATTGACCGTCTGGAATCCGGTGCCACAGAGTAGGACACTCCGAGTCACAAGGCTGGCTCCATTTATCATTCCTGCATTGCACGTTGTAGCCATGTTTGGTTAGAATTTGGAGTGCTGGGGATTGTGAATGGATAGCGGGTGTATATGCCACGTGTTTTTTCAAATAGGCGGGATAACCAATGAACATTCCTCCTGAAGTGACGAACAGACAATCCACGGAAGAACGTTGAGATAATACAATAGGGATAACTGACAATGATTGGCCGTGAATAATGGTAATAAGAGTGGCGAAACGTTCGAATGTTTCATATGCGAATGCTGACAACATCGGTTGCAAAGTCATGGAACTGTTGATAAGAGAGGAACCATATCAATACGATGAATCAAGGGGATCGAACGAGACTTGAGAAGTTGCAAGCATTGGCTTGAATCCGATATTTTGAATGCCTTGGATGAGTGATGCAGCTCCTTCGTTGGGTACAGTGATACGCAGGTCTGGAGAAACAGCCTCCATAGTGCCCAACAACAATGGGTCGAGCGCGGGAGATGAAAGTAGAACTGAACCACTCGACTCCAGCATGGCACGGAATTGCATTGAATAATCTGAACCGACAGCACATCGGATAACATTATCAAATCGGCAGCGCATAGTGTGTAAACCTGCGTCTTGTACAAATTGACTGACAAGCATGCACTCCACGATTTGGAACACGTCCAATCATGAAACAATTTCGAAGGTTGTATCATTATTGAGAAGACCTGCTTTGATAATGAGTAGGACGTGTGATAATATCATAAAGTCGATTAACTCATGATGTTCGGCAGAAAACTCGTGAGACACAAATGCAAAATGAATGGCCCAAAAAAATATGCTTGTAATATCGTGACTATTTCATTTAAAACTTCAGTTCATCGTTAAATTATAACACGTTTCAGGGGAAAACAAAAGGAATGATACCATTACTTCAAGCTCCTATTCACATTGCATTTCGAAATTGGATTCAGGAGTTTAAATATTCAAGCCTGTCAACTTTAGTGCTTGCAAAATTTGTTTGACAACTTGAAATTTCGCAATTTTCATCAAATTTTCGATTTCCAAAGGACTTACCATTCTCAAAAAGTGGCATGCTTGAAAAAGATTGATGAAATGGAGATGCATGGATACTTCAACAACCACATGAGTTATCAATGTTACAATGTACTCCAAAAAATGAAAAGGAGAATAAACGACTGCGAATCTTCTAATGAAAGCGGACCTGCCAAATACAGATCACTGATATATATAATCAATGACGTCATTTCATATCGTTCATACCCCTATATGTGGAATGTGCCGCTGCCTGATTTTTTCACGACACTGTGATCTTTACTCCAACAAAGTGCATGCTAGGCATTAACATGTCAGACATGTCACACACGGAAGCTCAATTGTCAGCGAAAATTGACGATATGTCGTTGGAAACTCGTAAGTCATTTTGAAATGATTCTCTGACCGCTGAAAAATTTTATGATCATAGTTTTATCTGTCAGCAATATCTGCTTGTGTTTGACAAATTTGCTGGACTTTAACACGCTCTATAATCTCTCACTCGCTTGCAAGGCCATGCGACGTAACATAGCAAGAATGCATGAAAAGCACTACTTGGATTTACTACAACCGTATATCATCACCAACGGCAGTAATCTTGCTGAGGCCATCGAATGTAACAACGCTGTTATCGCAGGATCAGCATCACTGTCGCTAGTTTGGCAGCCAGGTCATTGGAAACACAGGGATCTCAATATTGTCACTCCCCACAGAAAAGCACATCCATTATGTTCGTTTATCCTCTCTAACAGATATGTTTTAGAAGATGAAAAAAAAGGCAAGAAAGATATCTGGGCCACAACTTTCATATCATCCCACTCTCAATTCTCATATAAACATGAAAAGAACCTTCGCATCAGCATAACCGAAAGTGTCGACGCCACGATTATCACCGTAATACTAGCAAGCATCTGCACATCACAAATGATGTTTGTCACACAATCGGGCGTCTTCTCTGCTCATCCCAGATTCACTTTCCGTGGACTGTCATTACGCACACTATTGACAGTTGATGCACCTACCTCAAACATGAAAGCCAGACGCTGTACCTCCATGTTCTTGACACCGATTCAAAATACATCAGGAAAGCGAACTGCTTGTAATAATGATTGCCCACTCCTTTGGCGCAAGATCAATGACTACAAAAATGTGTTAACTTTGGATTGGCGTTATGAAGGAAACGAAAGAATAACTGATTGTAAAAGCCTTCAATATCATATCCAAAATTCCAAGCATTGTTGGTGTCTTGCTCTCGATTGTCAAAACCCAATGTGTGCCATGCGCATATATCATATTCCCGACATTCTGCATGGACCATCTCAGTTGGAGGACGTTATGACAACTAAAAAAAAACTGGCACATCATCCGGTATGTCACAGTGTGGCCGAATTAAAGGCTCGCGATAATTGACAGATGCGGAATATTATGACAGATGATGAGTGGTGGACAGCGAGCAGCATTGTATGCGCGGGAATGTGATCGAGCCTTATTGGTTCCAGTGCCATTGACCATCGGTGTCGATGAGCTAGAATCAACAGATGACCTGCATACATTTCAATGGTTAAATGAGTTTGGGGATGAAGCTGCGATAATTCATGCCAATGTCATGAGGACTATCATTTCAAGACATCCAAAATCATGAGCAAACCTGCCATGGACACTTGTTGTCTGTGTAGAAGATCATGATCACAGCAGACCAAATTACTTATTGCATACCCTTGGTATTTCATTCGCAGGCTTCGAGAATATATACATGCCTAATGGGAACATCCTTGTTCTCAAATGAAGCGAGAGAAATGAAAGAGATATTCTCAATGTTAATCCTGGTGACTTGGAACTCATCACCAAAGTCATTATGAAGTACGTGTCCTACAATCTATTATACCAATGTGATAATTGATAGATTGATACTATAGTGCATACATCAGAAATGAATTGCCCGGTGCGGGGCTAATCCAAAATTGACTCGCACAAGTATGGACCATAATCATATACTCAGTCAGGGACATACAGGGATACATACGTACACACATACAGATTTTTACTCTTATGTAATGCTGTCGTCTCAATAACAGAATATATCTTGTTGAGTTGGACTCACTCGCAACAAAATTGTGATGGACCTGCAGAACACACACAACACGAATACACCTGTTAGTGTGTCAGGAAATGCAACAGTGTCTCCAACAAAGTCAACAGAAGCACCTACCGCATCCATGAGAAATATCACCAGAAAGACATGTCATTTTATTCCATTGCAGTCCACGGTTGTTACATGCCAACCGCAGCATCAAGTCGAAGTAAATTCAATCTCGGAGTCACTGCCATGGTCGCTCATGTCAACATGATGGTACCTACTTTGACTACTGCGGAGAACAAGAATAGTGCTGCGAGGACCATAAGTGCCACAGATGCTTCGAATGGACTAGTAAAGAAAGCAACCGCAGTGCTGAAACAGACCACTTGTGCCACGTTAAAATAGGAGTCATTCTTGGTAATATTGTTATTATGCTTACATAGCGTCGTTCACAGAAGTCCATGTCAAACAAATTGGTGCGGGTGGCTCTAATGCACAGACTGGAAGAAGCTCTATGCTTCTGTCAAACAGGTTCGTCATGTATTTATTTTGAAAAGAGCACTTCTGGATTTGAAATGATCAGGGCTATATCGATAAACTTGCCCTTGTCAAAATCGCAAGGTCAAGCGCTACACTATCTGTTCCCTGTGCTCTCGTACTGACCGTCTCTGGCTCATCAGATGCTTCCACACTGCCAGATGTGGGGGACGAGTCGAAGTTGGTAGAACCACACTCAACTCCTGGAATTTGTGTGCAAGTCTGCATTATTCTTATTGCCACACGACCCTTTCGCTGTTTTCTGCTGATCATGTTCAATTATCACGCCTGGTTTAGGATCTAATAACCTTATTTGTCAAATATTTCTAGATGTTCCATCTCTGCTCGGTTATATAGTCGGAGAGGCGTCCCTATCTTTATCATCGACCTTATTTGTGGCGTGTCGCATTATTTGTTCTCATGCACGCCTCACGCACATCTCCCATTATACTCGTTCTCCTCGTGCTCGTTAGTTTTGTCATGTAACCAATCGCCTTGTATAACTACAACCATTACAATTGATCCAAGCCTATCATACAAGTTGATATAGCCTTGCTATATTCAGCCTAATTCGATACAGGTCCGCTTACATAGATTTCAAATGGTGGTCGATAATGAAATGATCAAACAACCCTAACTGATATGCAATAGAATGACACATTTCAGGAGTCACAATATGATATTTGAATTATGGAATATAAAATCATGGATATGGATACTACTAAACTCCTGTTGTAATCCATTATATAAAAACACAGAGTCGCTTGATGTGCATGAAGACCTCACGCAAAAAATGTCCGATTCCGAGTCGTCAAACCAATCTACTGCTACTATCTTCGACCTGCGCAACAAACATGGAATTTACGGCGCCCTCAGCGAGCAGCTAATGAATCTTCCTGCTGGAGATTGTTTAGCTCAAGCAACATACAATCAAGATTTCATGCATCAGATCAATGCTCATACCGGGAACTTTGCTTATGTCCAACCCTCCTCTGGCATTGAATATGAAAGCATTATAATGGGCCAAATTGCTGGAGACGAAAAAATTAGAGCTTGTGGGACTCATTACGCAGGAACTATGAATAATGTAAGTATGCCTAGTATGTTAAACCGACTGCAATATATTGACGTTCGTCATGACTTAGCCACGCCCAATTACGGATAAAACACCGGTCAAAAGCATGTTCTCATTATGCAAACCCGAAGGATCGCCAAAAGAACTGGCAGTCATTTTTGATAATCAGTTGGCTACACTTTCCGAAGTCACACTGGCTCGTGAAGAGGAGGCTACCACCAAAGGAAAGGTAAATAACAATGTCAATTTTCGTGCTTGATATTTTAAATCTTGCTTGGAATTGGACAGACATTCGATGTCAGAGACTGGGTTGACATTGACCTCATCAATATTCACACCGAGGCGATGTATGCGGTTAGTTATATTTACTATTACACATGGGATATGATGTTTCATCATGAATTCTAGGTACCGAAAAACGCCAACAATCTTAAGTCAAGCAAAAGGGCTCGCATTCTGAAACAAAATGTCATAGGTACAGAAGTCAAAGACGAAAAGAAAAATGTTGACAGAGACACTGAAATGTCGGACATGTCGTTGGATTTACCTGCGACAGAAAACACAGCCTCTCAAGAACGCATGACTAACGACTTTTACGATCCACAGATACTTTCGGATTACAAAGGTCAATTGTATCAGCATAATGAATCCAGACTTCGTCAATTAGACATTCGGGATGTGGATAATGCTCTAATCCATCCGACCAAATGGTACTCAAAACTGAGACGAGGAGCACTTGTCCTTGTCAACGGCACCCTGCATACTTTCACTATGGAAGATAATAGACGAGTATGAGTATTCCATGTGCCATGTTCCTACCAAAAAAAAACTAATCAATGCTTATCAGATTTATCATATTCATGCTCATACAATTCGCATCCTAGATGACTCAGATTTGCCTATGGAACCTCGCATGCTGGTGACACTGCCAGGTGAAAACACTTCAGAAGGATATGGTTCCAAACATTCCATGGGAGCAAGTAGGATTGCAGAATTCAAGGTAGTTGGCAAACGAAGGAGAGACGAAGGGAAAGATTCAGAATGAGCTCAGAAAATAGGAATTAATGATGTATAGTATTATGGACCAAAGATTTAAATGCAATGGGCTCATTGTCAGGATATACTAGGAATTAGCTGTACTACGGAGCAAAATGCTGTAATAGATTGAAACTGTTTTTCTCCCTCTTTCGTTTTTTCTGGATTTGCACAACACTTATATGCACGATCGATGAAACATCAAAAGCAGGCAAAGGATAAAACAAAATGAGTGAGTTATGCGATGTAATGGAAACTGACATACAAGCAGCTATGACCCATTCAGAAGTTGGAAGATGTAGCACAGTCGTGTTACAAGAGTTAATAGGATTCGTAGATGCATCAACTTATGAAATCAGTGAATTGCGTGATGTAAGTTTAGCAAACGTGCAGCTTCAGGTACACATATAATACAAATGATGAATATAAAATTTGAACTACAATGTTACGACAAAATTTTGGTCCTTGAATGATGTTTAGCATGCGTTACAAGGTCAAAAAATTTGAGAAAAAGAGCGAACATCTCTGCCTTACCAAAAAATCGACAACGATGGACTTGATATGCATTCTATATATCTTCCGCTGAAAAGTTTTTGGAGGGAGATGCAAACGATTTTCAAGAGTTGTGCGAACCATGCGCAAAGTAAGGTGCCTAAGAAAGGTAGACAACGTGAAGCAATGACATTGGTTACTAACAACCCACCTCCACTCATCGCAAGCGAAAGCTTCGTCAAGCAGGACTAAAGTTGCTTCCTGCACTACAAAAACACTTGGTTCGGCCAAATTGTGGGACATTATGGAGATGCAAATAGACTGAGTAACCACATGAATATTTAAGCAAAAGTAATCCGACATACAACCATCTTCAGAATATCAAAATCAACGACTCAAAGGAGTATAAAACACATAGGGAGAGAATTCGCGATTTTGATCATGACAATGAAACCCTCCTAACAGCCATCCATACATCTCTTTTGGAGCAGCAGGCGCCATGTGCGAAGTTGAGATAGGAGTAGAAAAAGAGACATTAAGACATGCACTATCGAACGAAGTGCAGGCTTGGAGTGGACATTCGAACGTTTGAGCACATCTGTGATTATCTGCAGATGTTCATGTGAGACCTGAAGAGGCGAACTCAAACCCACGATTGGCATATTTGGTGACAGCACGAAGAGTACGCGGAGGAAGCATGTGATGATGTGTACAAGCCATAGGATTGATGAGGCCTTTGAATTGCAAGGTGAGAGCAGGATACGCAGAGAAAATGGTTGTCGGAGTGAAGTAATTCATGACAATGGTACTGTGGAACTGGAATATAGGCAGAATAGGTCTACCATCGCATGATAGAACAATGTCGACTTTGTGGGAGCCTTTGACTGCAGCAACCACACTGCGAACTTTTTTAGACCCATATTTGGATTTGGGCCGCGGGTATGGAATGATGTCATACCCAAAACGATGGAAAAATTCTGTAGCTGAAGGCCCGGATGATAACGGAATGTATATATCCAGGTCAGATATAGGCCATGTAGTGTCCACGACGGCAAGAATAAGCCTCAATGTGGAAGAACCAGATATAACAGCATTAGAGGTGTGCATGAAATTGATGAATGCTGAAACATCGGGAATGAAAAAGTGAAGAATATGATCTCGTCGACGTTGGAGGAAAGAATCGGTCAGAATAGCATTATGATGGCACATGGCACACAATGCCACAATGTTTCGGATGTCGAACAGACATAACACCATGTCTATTACCTCCGGAGGTAAGACAGAAAATGGTTGAAGGGTGGTGCGTATAACCTGCGACGACATAGTATTATTACGAATCTGCATAGGATAATACATAAATACATCATTGAGGATGCAAAGAAAAAGGAATATACCTGATATGGATGACAAAGCGTCAGTGATACTGAACAAGGACAGACAGAAAGCGAAAATTGCAGCAAGGAAATATCAAAATGAAGAACTTTGGACAGAATACAAGACCTGGAGGCACACCATTTATATACCAACAATAATAACTAAGCGCAGAAAAAATGACAAACTTAGGAGCATATCCGGTCGAACTCCACCAAAACTCCTGAATGAAAATTAAAAGAATCGAACAGGGGATTTTAAACACACCATTTCGAAAGAGTACGCCCCTATATAGACAGGAGTCATAATAAAACAGACGAACTGCATCCCACATGTAACTATCATGCGACCCGACAACAATTATCGCTTCCAAAATTTGAACGATCGTACGGCTCATATTATAAGACAGGCAGAATAATTGATCAGTTTTGAATAGTTCTCAACACTGGCGAACTCGGAGAACAGATCTGTCTGTATCTGGATTTCGAAAACTTGCACAATTTGTCTAAGATGTGTGTAAACTCTCGTGCGTTTGTCGCCGGAGTACATCGCAGACAATATCTCAAAATCTTAAGACAATACAGTCCAGAACAAGTTTTGGAACTATGCGACTGCATCCATGAAGGGAATGGAGTAATGGCTGGATCGTCAGCACTTTCCCTCTTCCTACATCTCAATTCCTGGACGCCACATGATTTGAATATCGTGACTACTCGAGGAAATACTTCGCGATTAAAACAATTTCTTTTGCAGAACGGATACATCAACACAAGCATGCACGCTGGACAATCAAATATAATTTCACCGTCCATGGTCTCCGTCGTATTATCTCATGATGTATTTATCCACCGTCTAAATAGTTTGCTGGAAATCTCAGTGACAGAAAGCGTGGACAACTCAATTCTGACCGTTATTTTAACGAACATCTGCACAACAGAAATGGTCTTTGCTACACCTCATGGACTATTTTGCGCGCATCCGCATCTGATGTTCAAGCGTATCGCATTGCATGGATTTCCTCGCAAACTAGGAACCAAATATGTATGGAGGGCAAAGCGATATGAAAAGATGGACTTGGTCCCTCACAGAAATACAAAACAATGGCAGGAAGAATGCAGACATGACTGCCCGGTGAATTGGCACAACATTCACAATCCAAAAGATCTTCTTCTCATCGACTGGAATCACACATCACCAGATATCGCAATGACAGATGAGTCCACATCGACACATCATCGGGCAGCATCTTTATTGGTGTCTGAGACAGTGATGTCAAAACAACCACTGTCTCTCCAATAAATATGAAATTCCTCCAGTAATGATGTGCGCTTCTCATTGGGAAGAAATAGTTCATACCAAAGAGATTTTGGCAGGTCATCCGGTGGGTAATGCTGTGTCAAGAACAATGCATATACTGATTTATTGATACCATCATAGTTGGTCACAGGTGGATGGCGAGGTGTATTATACGCCAGGAATTGCCAGGAACCACACTTGGTACCGGTGCCCTTGATGATCGGAATTGAGGAAATGAAATCGACAGATGATCTGTATACATGCCAATGGGTCAACGAATATGGCAGAGACCTTCCTGCTATCATACAGCCAAGGCGCAATCGGCTGACTATTCAAAACCATCCACACAGCAAATGTGCGCTGCCTTGGACATTAGAGATTTGTACAGAATCAAAGACTACGAGCCTGCATAACAATCTGCTGGCATTACTTGCTCAAAACGGACAGATTCATCCACTACTAGAAAAAGCACCAATCGGAAACATCTTGGTCCTAAAACAGGGCAAAACAGACGCAAACGAAGTGCAGGATGTGAATCGTGCTGACATTGCGCAGATTACAGATGTCATTGTAAGGTGAGCAGCCGGGCCAAGAACAACAGAGAATGGACTGACGAAAATTATGACAGCGCCGTGGCAAATAATCTATTAACGTAGTAATCGTTGGATTGAGGCCTTTGTGACGAAGGCAGAAAAGGAGTAATCAGGAAAGTTTTAGCAGCACGGTGCACTCCTATCGAAGAATTTGCAAATAGAAAAAATGTACATTGCGACGAGTGCACAGGACCAGACTCTACAAGCAACGCCAAATTGAAATGTACAAAGCAAATAACTGAGGAAGGAGAACGAAATACTCCTAAACGAGAAGCATGATGCAAATGAGTGTGATTGAATAAAAGGACAATGCAAAGTCTAAAGTTTCAGACCTATCAGACACACGAACTACTGCGAAACACAACACTAGCTCTGTCATAAACACATATCACCTGGTTCGCAGCATGAACACAACTGTACATCAGATGATAGCGATGTGTGGAGGAGAAGGAGGGATGCTATTCAGTAAGATAGATACACCTGCATGGTACTTTGACCGGATGGCTCATAACTTAGCCTCAGTAGAACGTCAGACTCGAGGGATCAACATCTACAACATACATGCACAAAATGAATGCAATCAACAAGAGCATTGGATGCAAGAAACACGAAGAGTGATGTTAGCAACAGAAGAAGTCTATGAATGTCGTCTACAATTGGCCGGTACGGATTGAAACTTGCAATGTGTGAAAAATGTACTGAAATTGCCACAGATACATGTAATCGCATCGCAAAATATTGCAATATCGACATCATAGTCACAGAAACTTTGGCATTGGCACAATATTTAGTGGATCATGCATCTGGATTGAATGTGGAGACGTAGCAAAAATAGCCAAAAAAAAAAGGGATACATTGATCGGAAACTAGCAACGACTAATACACTGTTACAAATGATTGATGCGACCGAGACGAAAGAGCCTGTGTGATTTCATCGAAAAGTTCAGACTACTAATAGAAACTGTGACAAAACAGAATTTATGCGATAGAGGCGTAAGGGCCAGAGTGAATCATACCATCGAAGAGACCAAATTCTGATTCCTGATCCAATCTGAAACATATGAGCTTAGCAAAGACAAATACAAAGGTGGACAAACTGAATTAAAAGATCGACGACATGACTCTTGTCTGCGCACGTCATATCAATCAAACAACAATCTACAACTGAGGATCGCTTGATCACCAGTAGGCTACCGCTCAACGGTGTGAGCGGCTCATACGGTGCTTCTCCTTGCCTATGGATGGGTCCAGAATGATGTAGATGAGGTGTATGATTGAGGAGATCTTCATGATTGCGAATGATCACATATTCATATCCCATCACACGAAAAGATGTTCTCGTGTGAGTGGAATTGATGACATGAGGAATATCATGACCGGCTTCGTGAACGTACATTTGGACATTGATGTTGTCAAGGTAATGCGAAGGGCCTCGCATCCTGTCCGAATAAAGAGGGACTAAGACAGAGCGCGATGCACCCGGCATATATAACAAAGCCATGATCGGGCGCTGGGCATGCTGAGCATTGCAGACGGTGATGGACGGCAATCAGTGAAATGAAAGAATATGAGAAAACATACTGACATAATATCGAGTCAACCATTTGACAATGACTGATGTGAGCGATGGACAGCAAGGCGATATTTGCAGATCCTGGCCTGCATGCATCAAGAAACGACTTGAGCAAAGCAGATTCTCACATGCTGCAGCCAATCTCCACATAAATGAGGATGGACGAAAAATATCGGTAGGAAGGACACCGCTACCCCAAACAACCATTCGTGCGTCATCCCTGCGATGCCACAACATGGGACAGGCTTGGCCACATGGCGATGTCCATGAAATGTTACTATACTCCAGACAAAACCCGCGTGTGAGAAAGTGGTCGATGTGATCGGCATTGTAAGCCGCATCAGGTGCAAAGCAAGTCAAATCTTCGAACGCAGATGGAAAGCCCAAGAACATGCCACCAGTAGTGACAAACATACAGTCTGCAGTGGTACGATGGGTGAGGACGACGGGAAGAACAGATTCCGTGTCGCTTTGGATGATTGATACAGTTCGGTCTCGGCGTCTCCAAAAAGAAGCAGGAAAATGGTCGACTAGAATATCAGGAGTGGTTGGAGTGCGAAAGTGATCATGGGCTATGAAACCAATCATGTCAAGGAATGTTGAGATTACATGCATTTTATCGACAGGAGTGGTGATGCGCAATTCGTGGACATTGTCAACATCGACAACTCCACGAGCGAAGACAAAGCGGTCGATAGGGGCTGCTGCAAGCAAGACAGAGGCAGTCAAATCTAATAATACTCGCAAGCCATCAAAATCAGAGCCGACAACACAACGCAAAGTATTGTTGAAACGAATGGCAATGACCTCACGTCCAAGACTGCAGAACCGCCAATTGAGTTGCAAACAGGTTACAATCTGAAAAAATCCATCTGAGACAAGAGAAGAGTGAGAACATCGTCAGGAACGAAATCTGTAAATGACAGAAAGATAAATAAGCTGTGTATGTGTGATAATTGGCCTCACCCATAACTACCATCGAAATGAATTGGGCGTGATGAGATAATTGGGAGAAAGACACTCGGCGTAATGATAGAGGGAAAAATATAAAGGCGTGGGAAAAACGGAAAAGGGTGACTAATGACTAGGTAGCGGGCTTTGCCACGCATGTGGCCTTGGACGACATCAGTGAATTGAGGAGTCCTTGATATTGTACCCATAGAGCCTATAGAAGGATTTATTTGTGCTATCGCTAGGTATGGGCATTTATAGTGCGAGAAATTTGTAATGTTGCTATATGGCCATGCAAGTCTCTGAGTCTAGATGACATCTAGAATTTCGTGACGAGATCACAACTTTGCAACACCACGGCCATTAAGGGATGATATCGTCGGCGTGTTCACCTTGTCGAGCATTGTTGTTTCCCCTTATTCAAGTTTTCAATTAAAAGACTATTTAAGACTATCTCATGGAAAGCAGGTTTGGCAATGGTCATCAAACTGTATCTACAGGGGAATTTTCAATAATGTGCTATTGTTGAGCCATCACAGCCAGGAAGAGATGACAGGGTACCCCAGTAAGCCTGGTTGAACATTTTCATATTACCCAATTCAAGTTGTGAATTACAAAGCTATTTTTCACAGTTCACTAATGCTACAGCTAGGGGTATGCCATCCATAATACGAATCAAAGACCCTGGTTTTATAGTGTTGAGCAACCAGCTATTGTCTAGTAGTTCAGAGAGGGTGACATATAGGATAAGTGGCAGCATCATCAAGTATTGGGAGGTGGGCGACCAACCTTAGAAACCCTTTTGGCCAAGTTTCATGCTAACTAACCAAAGCTCATTTTGTGCGTTGTTGTGACATAGGCGAGATGTGCGCTCTGTGAGAGGTAGCACCTGTTGTCTCCTGCTAAATAGAGCAGCGGTGGCCCCCGCATACTGTACAAATCATGTTACGCAAGGCGGATGCCAGGTAGCATGTCAGTAGTGCTGCCGAAGTCCGGTTCGGGCAAGGAGGGCGAACATTGGACTGGACCCTTGCGAATGCGTTCACAAGCGTTCGGTTCGAGTTCAGAATGTGTTTGAACCCCCGAACGCATGAAAATCACAACAACTTGCAGTAGCTCGCACCCAGATGACTTAGGATGATGAATATACCCGCCAATCATATCGACTCACTAGTATGGTTTTACTTTGTGCATTTCTTTGAGGTTCTGGCTCCATCAAATCAAAATGAGTTTGCATCCAAAGTATAGCCGGGAAGGTTGCTCCCGAGCGAATGAAAAATCAGTCTCTTTTGTTATCATATTAGATCCTCTCGTACTCCAAGTCATCATGCCACAAAACCATAGGATGACAACCGAGAAGCGTGCATGTAATGCGGAGAGGACAATATCATTAACATGAAAACTTCAACATAAATGAGTAACTAGTGATGATGAAGGGTATTATTGGTGAGATGAAGACAGATGCTGGTATTGACTAGAAGTGGTTGGCTGACTGCTATATTGTCCAGCAGGTGGATATGGTTCCTGGAAAGTGCTGGATGTCGCGCTCTGACCGTCATAACCGGATGGATAAGCAGTGCGCTGCAGTGGAGACTCATACGCTGTTTGTGAGCTTTCGTATCCCTGCTGATCTGGTTGCTCATAAAGCCTCATATGCTCCCCTTGAATTCTCGAACAGCGGTCGTTGATTGGGACCGCCTTCATAAGCAGACCATGACGAATCAAATGAGGAAGTGCACGAAGCCTCGTACGTTACTCTGCCTTGCGAGTTAAACACGGGAGCGGCTAGTGAAAAAGGTGCAGTCTGCGCAGGGGAATGCATAGTTTGCTGTTGAGAGACAGTGGAGGATGCAGGCACAATGGATGGGGGTGCACTGTGGAAATTCTCAAACACAGCTGCTGCAAGCGGGGCTATCAGTTGCGCCCCAGGTGGCACGAAAGGTCTCTGTGCCATTGCAACCGACTTCAAAATCATCTTTATCAGACATGAAGAGTACAGAGACGTCAACGATAACGCCCCACCAGAAATTTGAAGAACATACCAAACCTGTCACCAACATAATACAACAGCCCGACGGAGAGCAGATCATCACTTGTTCAATCGACGGCTCGCTGCGAGTATGGAACTTGGAGAGCGGAGAGTAGATAGGGAATGACTGGTGGGACGTAGAGAGTCATTTGCACACCATAGCATTGTCTCCGGATGGGAAGAACTCAGCGAGTGGGAGCGAAGATGGTGTGGTGAGGTTATGGGACGTTGACATCGTGAAATGGACTGGGCACGGAGATCTTGTGACATCCCGCAGCTTCCATATGTCTCGAAACTGGTAAAGGTGAGATACTGGATCAACAAAAAGAGAGAAACGAAATATATACCTTCCATCACCAAGTGTGTTGCGCAGTGCTAAGCGCTTCGACGATATGATAAACCAGAGAATGCTGAGTGATCTGTGAGTTGCCGCATACAAGAACAATGAGCAAGAATTACCGCAACACTGAATGCTGGGAGCAGTGAGTGCTGAAAAAACCTGACATTAATCAGCGTCTGGCTTCAGAATCTAAAACATGTGCAGACTTACGGGATAGCACTTGACAGGTCCTTGATTGAACAGATAGTGACAAAAGGGCCATGCTCATTGATCCCTCCCGCTACCGTCAGTGAGAAATAGGCTGAACAACGACAGCAACAATCTGAGAAGGAAAGAAGTTACCACTGTGACTGTATTTGTAAGGGTGTGACGGTCACGGTACTCTCCAAAAACATCAAGTTTCCCTTGTAAAAGACATCCTACGATATCATGATCAAGATAAATCTATCAGTATGAGTGACACGGTACAACATAAGTCCAGTGTATGCGGTGAGCACTGTTTCTTTGCTTGTCGATCATTGCTGAATAAATATTAGCAGCATGCGCGACACATTCAACGCTCTGACTCACCAGGAATATGTCTGGGGCGAGAGCGAAGGTTGAGGTCCCCAAGTCAGCCGGAGGTGGAGATCGCGGGTGAAACGGAGGTGCCGTTGGGATGTTGGAAGCAACTGAAGGGAAGGTTCAAGGCATGGTGCAAGGCGTGAGTAAGGGCAGTTGAGGACATCAGGTGAGACGTGCATCGTGCGACGACTGACGAACCCACCAACTTACCGATCCACATCGATTTATTCTAGATGTCCCATCTTCGTTTTTCGAAAGTTGACCGTTCAATACCTAGACCTGTGTTCCAAAGGATGGATTAGTAACGAGAAATTGATTACTAGTTAGAGTCAATATCTAACAAGTGTCAATCGCATAACCTATAGCCTGCGCACGTACGACTTGAACCGCGTGCTTCCAAGGACTTTTGCCGTCATCGACAGTCAAACACCAAGCTCCACAAATAAATTGTGCCGACCTCCCTTACACAATCGTTGTGAACTAGGGACACATTGACAACTGCAAACATGATAGATGTTGCCTTTGATAACGAGCACATCTTGATAGGCTCATAAACCACTTTATTTGCAGTCTGAGCTTGCAAAAGTAGTATTTCGGTCGCTGGGACCCTTGCACTCGTTAGATGTGAAATGCGAGAGCGTAAAAGGGTCATGATACACGAGATGCAGTAACTTTTGCGGAAAGGCTTCATACAGCCGAGGTCTTGAATCCAAGTCTCCGCATGACAGCCAGAAGATCAGCCCTCTGCACGGATTTAGTGAGCGAGGTGGTGAATAAGCTGTTATCATTAGTGTCTGCAACATTATAGGTGCTAACAGCAACCATAGGTGTGTTGGAATTCCTACCATTGGTTGTCTTGATGTATTGAGCAGCACCCTCACTATCAACTACAAGTCGCGACAAACGTTAGGAAACAGGCACACTGGACTGAGCATATCATGTACCGACTGGCATGTGTGAATCCATGAGGGTACATTCAAATTCTATGAGAAATTAGACCATAGAACCATGATGCGGGCGCCAAGAGTACTTACTGATATCACCCATGGCAACGCTTGTGGCCTCTGACCCATCCGCAACCAAGACAGATGAGAAGTATCTCCAGTATTTTAGTGGCTATTGGATTGTCCTTGGCGAGTAGACATGTCACCACATGGTCGGTGGGATTAGGCCTTTTATTCAAGGCGATCAAGTGAACCGATAGACGAGGCGTATCGAACTGACTCGAACTTTGCCCCGTCGATGAGGCAGGTCTCTCTAGCCAGTGCAAAAACATATTCCTAAATGAAAATCACAATGAAATTTCCCTCAACGAAGGATGCAACTTATGCTGGCACTTGCATGATAATGAATCCCACATAGATAATAGACAAGAGCGTCCCATATTGACTCCCCTGTAGATGCAGGTCTTCCTCAAAACCTGCCAACTGTGCACTACTGTGGATAACATGAGAAACATAAAACGAGTATGAAGATGCATAACATACATAATATTTGCTCTGTCGATCTAACCAATGGTAAGCACCAAGTAATACAGAGCTCAGACTCACATTGTTCATGGTATAAGCGGGAAGCTGGTGTGAATTGTCTGGCCCAGTCATTGATTAAATATTGACGAGTCAGCCGACAGCGTTATGATAGGACTGGGAGGAATGAAGCTGATGGTAGAACCTGGCAAAACGGTATTGAGTAGTGTAGATCAGTAATCTACGCCGGGCATCCCTGAGGCCTTAATCTGACACAATCTCAGGAGCTGAGTGACAGTTCCGATATCCTCCTCGTGGAATAACCGAGGTATAGCCCCACGCGGATTGAAGTAATCAGTCGATTCAGGATCAGAAACTTGAGGAATGAATACCGCCTCTGTAGACGTCACTTTGTCCCACTCTATGCCTTCAAAGACGGGATGCCCCATTAATTTCATCTGTGCCACCAGCCCCAAGACGAGTGGACGAGTCTATGCACATCAGCCATCGCATGAAGTCACGAGCCTCATCGGAGAACTCCACCCAGTCCTTGTGCCACTCGATGTGTCCAGAAAGGATATTTTCGAAAACCATCTCTGGCATCTCCGCATGGGAATGCCGTATAAAAATTCGCAAACCAAGAGCCCACTGCAGTAGACAGCTTAGCAATGTGGAAACACACAAGGCTAAGGCACTAACCCAGTCCACTGCAGCATGATCTCCACAAAGGCCAAGAATGGTTTCTGGAGCAAGGTAATCTGGTGTATCAACAAACTTCTGCTCCCTCGGGGGTGTGTGACCACCCAAGTAGTATGAGCGCAAGTCGGTGGTCAGTTTCATAGCAAACAATTGCAGACGACTTTCACCAGCCCTGCTTTGGCGTGAATGATGATTGTATATAGATTCGGGACCGGATTCGCTTGCGTCATCTGATAAGGCGAAATTCCTTGTCGTGGCACCGGATGTGTTCCCTGGTTAGAATATGAACCTCCACCAACCATTTTGCTTGAAAGTAAGAGTGATGAAGGAAAGTCGGAAGGTGGTCGCGAACGTGAATCATATATTGTGTGATGTCGCATACCCATGTCCATGGGTTCGCACGTTTGACGACCAAGGAGACCAATCCTTCTCAAACCGAAATCAGTGAGCTTCAAGTGACCGTGCTGGTCGATGAGAAGGTTGTCAGGCTCCAAGTCACTGAAAAATGATAAGCATGCGACTTCTGCATATTTTGTAGAACTTACCAGTGAACAACGCCACGCTGGTGGAAATACTCAAGCCCCAGCACAACTTCAGCAATGTATTACTTCATCCATTCTTCGGGCAGCGAGCCCAAAGACTTGATAAGAGCGGCACAATCGCCACCATTTAGATACTCCATAACTAGATACAAGTTTTCCTTGCTCTGGAATGTGAAGTACAATTTGGCAACGAACAGCGACTCGGCCTGCTTCATAAGAATCATGCGCTTCGCCTTGTCATTCGTGATTTGGTTCTTCGCAATCATATCGGCCTTGTTTAGAACCTTCATAGCATAATAGCATAATAGTCTCCAATCACCTTCTTCGCAAGAAAGACAGATCCAAAGGTTCCTTTGCTGATAGGCTTGATGATATCAAAGTCTTTGATAGAAGTTGGAGTCGATCATGATAAAGGAGCTGCAGACGATTGGTGAGGAGATAGAGGGACATTTGATACTGAAGGACTAAATATGAAATTTACTGTAGAATGACAGCGATGCCCGTGTCATGTAGCAGTGGGTGCATCTCGAAGGGATATGCTGAGTGACAGGGGTGGGGTGACCAAAAGCCGTGGTTCCAGAAGGTTGCTGGCCGTGTTCTAACGGTAGCATTCCCTGGTAGACTATCATTGAGGTCCATGTATGGAGGCTGATCGTCGGGAGATGGTGATACCGTGATTGGGGGCAACTAAAGCAAGAGGCGAAGATATAGATGATGGCGTGGACGACCTTGTGGGCATCTTGTTGATGATTTGCCATGCCGGAGGAATAAACTGAGGTACAGGAGCAGAAACGGAGGCGCGACTGGCATCTGGGGTAGCGATCAATATAGGAGACTCGGAAGCCATGGGAGCAGGCTCGAACGACAGTAGTTCTTCAGATTGATTGGTGGCATGACAGGATAGTCAGCTGAATATGTGAAGATTCAAGGAAATACTCGCCGCATGATTCCATTGGTGCATTTCAAAACGATGCCATGTCGATATGCGTAAAGGAAGTCTTCATCCAGTAAGATGTCCCAGCATGCATGAAACAACTCCCTGCAGCAATGGGTGTGAAGGGAGGCCATGCCGCTTTTTGAGATGCAAGGCAAGGTACTCAGAACATCTTTAATACTATCCAGAAGCTAACAAGGGCAGCTACTGTCAATGGCAGTCCATAAATGTACAATGAAGAAGCTCACCGAAGGTAAAAAGCCTACAAGATGACATGATCCTGATGTAGGCAACGAGCATACATATTTTGTTAGATTTCCAAAGTAGACATAGAGCGGCCAGGCCTTGGCGGTTCCAAAATTTGCCAGGTGAGTAGCATCCGAAAAAAGCATGAAGCCTGCAATGACACATTCTAATGAGCATCCAATTTCCTTCGGCGACTTGTGGAGACTCTCTGAAAGATCTTTTGGAACAACGCCTTCCCTGACTCATCGGCCGTAAGACGGAGCTCCTCCTGGCAACTGCGGACAGTGGGTGTAGGCACTGGAGGATGCTCATCGGGTGGCTTCAAGACAAACATCAGGGTATTGTCTTGCTCGTCCTCATTATCATCGAAATTCCAGAATCACTTTTCAGCCTCCCACCATTTGACTACATGGCTGAGACTGGCAACAGCAGGTAGGACTTGCACATACCAGTTCCACCCATGCCAATCCGGATGCCCATCCCATGCTTTACCAATACTATGTACCCGTTGAACGAGTGACTCGCAAACTTTAGGCTGGGCTGTGAGTGAGGCTGTTGATATCATATCGGTGACATCTGTTGCTACAGCAATGAGGTCGTAAAACACGGTCATGATGGGATCAATAGGATCATCCAGTAATATGCAGGAAGAGCAGCAATTGATGAAAGAAGGCAGAGGAATGGCCTCGGAAAAGTTACTGTGTATTGCAGCCGACAGAAGTGGGGATCTAGACCGGGAGGCCGAGCGAGAACTCTGACCGGATTCAACTGGACAGATGGGAATGTGAACGCTGGGTGAAAGCCTGCGGGAACATATACTCTGAGCAGACCATGCCGTGAGAGGCATCACATTGAACTGCTTGCGAGGATTGACAACGTCTGCCAGCGTGGCAGATGCAACAATGTGGATAGGGATATGCATACTGGAAGACGGCGTGGAAGCAACTTGTTTCTCTCATGTCGAATTGCTATGCCTTCGCAAGGAGGGACTGAGGGAAGAGTTTGATGCTGCAAGGAGACCAGTGTAGAGACTCATGCCTCTCATTGTGCAATATGGCAGTTTTCACTGGGGAGTACATGGCACGAACTTGTAGCATCACTCTGTGTGCTACCCGCAGCTATCTCTATATGAGGCGCAGCTTTCCCGCGCAACGCGCGCCATGCGCGCGTACCTTTCCCGTGCTTCACGATGTATATGCGCGCGCGCTTTCCCGCGCTGTAGCGCCCTATAGCGCCAGCCATCCAGAAGCATCCATCCACTGTCCACCAAGTTCCCTAGTGCGTATATTTCCATTCTCACATTTGCATATCGTTCCATCTTTATTTTTATCATGGACCCTTACTTACATATATCTTTACATACCTTACTCGGTAGCGCTTCGGCTCCGCATGACAGCGCTTAGGCGCCATACTTAAGCGCCAGCAGTACATACTTACTTACCGACTTACTCTCCCACCAGAATGACAGAGGACTTACTGGTTACTACCCACTATTCACCTAGCAGAACATAGTAGAAATCTATTTGTTTACACCTCGCATCTCTCTTCTCTTGTCTTACATCATATCATCACTTAAGCAAACTCACTCTTACTCTCTCTCGTATCTGTATACACGCGCGCGCATTCCCGCACTTCGCACATTCTCGCGCCTTGCGCGCACCTGCGCTTTCCCGCGCTTCGCATTGGCCAACCAGTAGCGCTTTCAGCGCATACCTCTAGATCCTTGCTGCACTCGCTTCCCCTTTAGGGTCGAACGCACTTGTCGTCTCAAGTATAGCAGACTAGGCAACGCGCGACCTTACAACAATTATAGATACAGTCAGGAGCATTGTTCGTGCCTCGCTGTATTGTTGAACCTTCACCGGGGATGAGACCCGATGAGTCAGAGAGGGAACCTTTGTGCTGTCGTCCTCTCGAAACATTGTCGACTATGACTTCTGTGACTTCTTTCTCGTTCAGGCTTATAGCCACTGTCAAAATAAGTATCAGGCGAAGCAGGCCAAGGATCCGAAGAGTGTCATACGAAGGCCTCACAAAGAGGCTCTGCGTCACTATACTCATGGTAGAAGTCCCTGTCCTGATCCAAATAGTCACGATCGATGTCGTCATCACGAAGTCTCTTCAAAGAAGACACTGATATTGTTTTACGCGATGTAGCTCCTTGTCACAATCTGAATTGCGCTTGAGACGACGAGTGACAGTCACCGAATGAAAGGTATGGAAATGGTGTTTGAACCTAAACCATAGGAAGTGTTCCTGTTTGACTGAGAAATAGAGTGTGGTAGCACTGACTCCAGAGCAACTACGGAAGGACTGGTGGGTTGACGACGGTAAGTACTGGCAAAATTAGACATGTACTATGTGTGTCAAATAATGCCAGACCAGGGTACTAGAAATAGGATGCCGCCAGGAGGCTATAAGCGAAAGTCAGACTTAGAAGAGGTAGGTATTTGAACCGACTTACAAGAGGTGATGATGGTAATTAAAAGCCAAGTTAACATGAAGAAGACTTGCAGGAATTATGATTCCGGAAGTGTGAAAAGGAGGTGAAGAGAGAAAACAGGAATGGAACCAGGCTCAGCCCAGCCTGTCTATAGCTAGAAACAGATTAAGAAGGATTCTTCATCCCGATGATGCTGCTACCAAATGTTAGGACCATATTGTGATATCAATAACTTGTGAGCGAATAGCTGGACTCTGTATAGATTCTGTGTACCTGCTGTGTACCAGATCCCCCTGCCAACTATACAAACACCTGAGATCGGATGCGGGTTAGGTGATGTTTCATAAATAAAGGTGATAGCTGTAAGCAGCCAAAAGGTCTCTTCAGCTTGTCACCATCTATAGGATGGGTCAAATAGTCGCCATGATAATCAGTAACCTCCATGACCAACCATCAACGATACGGAAACTTACCAAATTACAGGCCATGATAAGGGATCACGAGTGCATTGAAACTTGAGGGCGTACTGCAGATATTTCCTGCATAGTAATACAATTGTATCCTTTGCAATGAAGCACCCATAAATGCTTCAGTTCAAAACTCTCTGCATTACAATCTTCCCGATCAAATGGTGTCCCTGTGAACCCGCCACTGTCACAGTGGCAGATCTGGGTGATCAAGAGGTAACTGAAGAAAGTGCAAATCTGTATTCATCTAGCAAGAAAAATGAAATTGGTCAGTAATGAGATGGTACATGAATTGTGAAATGTATACTGAAGATATTGCCCGCATAGTAATATTGTATCCTTTGCAACAAAGGACCCATAAATGCTCCAGTTGAAAGGTCCCTGCATGATAATCCTCCCAATTAATTGGTGCCTCTTTGAAACTGCGGCCACTGTGACAGTGACAGGTCTAGTAGATGATCAAGAGGTGACTGAAGAAATACAAATCTGTATTCATATAGGAAGATGGTCAGTAAAGGTAGATGAATTGTAAAAATCTTACAAGGTTGTCGCCAATCATCATCTCAGAGCGCAGTAGAGACAACAGAGAACTTGCAAATCCAGCCACAAATAATAAGAACAAGCTTCACTTGCTAGTGGTAAAAGCCCAAGTAGATCATGGGATATGCTAGCAGACACTGAGTAAGACGCAGTGTACACCACCATTGATCGTCCTGACGGTGCAGGAAGACAAATAACAACAAACAATAAATTGCATCATGATAACTCAAGTTGACCGCCCGGGACTCACCGCGATCGTCGTCGGGATGGTGACCGACCTTCACTAGCACTCTTTCCACTTGGTTTCGAAACTGTGAACATTCATGACTCCTTCTGATGTGAGGCATTTTACAGGGGAGGTTCGACGCAGGTCGCGAAATGTACGGTTGCCTAGTGCCAGTGACTGTGGCAGTGTCACTATTCTCATACTCTGAGTCCGCAAGGTACCGACCTTTCTCACTCTTAACTTTGAAACTGTGGATCTTCATTTCTCAAGCATTTCACAAGATGATGGTCTTGAGGTTCGAAGCAGGTCACGAAATTTACAGTCGCCCGCCTGGGAGAACATATCCAATTCCAAGTCCTCGTCGTCCGACCGAATCGGAAGGTACCGTTCAAATTTGACAATCGGCTTTTGCTCCAAGTCCGACTTTACTTACTAAGCCTGGAGTTTGAGACCTTTTCCCAATCATACTCTCAGTGGAGGAAAGTTATGTGATCAAAATGTACTACACTACTATGATAGTAATGTCATTTATCCCCGAGCTACCGATCCTAATGGTACCATGGACCCTTCTCATTTCTGAAACAGTTATGATGTGCTAGTACAGACTCGGAAGTACTAACGGAATTCGAGAGTGTCAAAAAATGGAGGGTTACTACTAAATTGAATAGCGCAAATCTAAAAAGACAGAAGGTCATCAAACTCGTCCTCGGCCTCATCTCCATCAATGTCTTCAACATGGTCAAGCTCCAGATCCTCGTCACTAAACTCTTCATCACTTATTTCCCCCGAGTCCGAGTCCGAGCCCGAGTCATCCTCATCATCCTCCGTGTCATGGTGACCATTCTCGTCATGGCCCATGTCCGAGTCTGTCTCGTTAGTACTGGTCACACCGCCCACAACACCTCCGAGTGCCACGGATTCGCAGTCTCTGGCTATCCTCCGCAGCATCACTGGATGGCCAACACCAAAGTGTGTATAACGAATGAACATGTTGTGATCCACAAATCTGAAAAGTAAATGAGTACATAGCACCAGAACTGATATTTTTACTCACATGCCGACATAATATGCTTCCCAATCATCTAGTTCACCACCAGGACGTGCTAATGATCTCCCATGGCGAAGCGAGCTTACACCACGTTGAGAATTAAAGGCTGGAATCAAGTGGGCCCCTCGAATGACTTGCCCTGGATCAAGAAACCCGAATGCATCTACGTCTGACTCCTCGATGAAGGCAACCTTGGGAAGGTGAGCATGATTCACACCAGATTTATGATTCTGGATTGGAGCCAGCCATCTAACCCAGAGGACCTCGAGACGCTCTTTCACAGGTTGAGCTCCCTCATTGAGCCATGTGTCCATATGGTATATGCCCAATACATGGGTGTACCAGTATGGGTGGTTAGGCATCGTCTCTCCTGAAAGCACCATGACATCGCCGTGCATCCTAGGGTTGATAGTGTTGTACTCTCGCCTGATGTCGTACGTAGTATAATGGACTTGCATCGTTTGGACCGAATGAATTGTGTCATTTGGAATAATGACCAACCGGCGCTCCTCGTCTGAGAAGGTGAAGTCACAATAACTAACATCTATCTTGCGCAGTCTATAGAGAATGTGGTCCTTTAATTTTGGTATAAATTTCTGATAATTGTCGTGAGTAAGGTGCATTGAAGATGCGATATCACTTCTACCTTGAGAGCTGGATCATTATTATGTTCTCGAAGAAACGTAAATAGGGGGAGCGGGTGATTCCGACTAGTTGCAATGTGGTGATGCTTTCCGGAGGAGGGAGTGTCAATAGGTGGCTGACTGATTAAAGAGGATATTCCCCCTGCTTCTGCCACCCGCCGGAGTACACGGCGCCTGCGCTCGTGCTTGGCTAACTGCGCGGGGGTGTCTAACTTACTTGTCAATAGATAGAATGCCTTTAGAGCATGGTGTGCAAGCTCCCCCTGTCAAAGGATGTTTCAGGTGCATACTAGTGAGAATGTATTTGATACGCACAATTTGCGTAGTAAATGAATCTGTCGTTCCAAATATCCTGATAGTTCTCATATAATCGCCTATGGTGTGAAACTTATATGTGTTCAAATTCAATTTCTTTACTCTCACCCCAGTTGATTCCGTAGAGCCGGTGTTGGTTTCAGAGCGCTGGGTAGATCGTCTTTGGCGAGCTGATGCCTCCTTTGGTAGCTCCACAGTCTTGAAAGCAGCACAGGTGTAGTCCTGAAAATTCCGCAACTTCCTGGAGAGTTTCTTGAACGTTTCTTCGAAAAAAAGTAGCATCGAGTCTGTGTGGATCCTGAGCTTCACGAGAGCATGCCACTGCGTGAATTGATACAGGAGGGATTGCACAGCCACGTCATGGCCGGGGGGGAACAGGCCTTCAAAGACCGGAATAGCACACTGGGAACCTGTTAGCGAGCCCAACACAATGTTACGACACACGGTCGTGTGCGACTAGGATGATCTAAACAGCGACAACCACGACAGTGGTACCGAGTGCTGAGAGTCGTCGGCCTTTACAGAAAAGCAAAGGTTGCGTACTCGAACGTAGCTCGTGGTGGTTAACGAGGAGTTACGCTGAGATGATAGCGGTTTACAGACAGTGAGAGGCGTCACTGAAGGTACGAGTCGATGTCGAGCAGGTAGCTTTAGCGGGACAAGGAGTTCAAGGGTAAACCTAGTAAGATTAAAGTAAGGAACGTCTACTGTTAATCTTCGACCTTATATAAGGCTACTCTTCGTATCTAAGCTCAGCCTAAAGCTGGGTTCTAATCTGCTTATCTACATGAGTCAGAGATAGCGTCCATGAGGCGGGCTTCTATCGTAGATAGGATCCATGAGGCATCCTTCTATCAGTACATGAGGCAGCACGAGGCTTGCCTTCTATCTTGATAACATAAATAGGTCTTCTAGACCTATGTCGTCGTGTGTCGTCACGTGCGGTCCAGACCGCTTATCTAAGCCGGCAGTTGCCGCTTATCGTCTATCATCATCTATCGTCATAGAGCTGGTGAGACTCCGGTATCGTCTATAGCCGTGCGGTGGCAGAGGGCTGTCTGCTGGCAGGGGACTCATGCCATGTTACTGTAACACACAACAGACAATTAAGACAAAAACCTGTAAGATATCTTCGAAATCACGAGCTGCTAACCTTTTCATCTCAGATGTGTTATTCGCAAACTTTCGGATGACGCCATTACCAAACGTCGGGACCTGGCGAAATCTAGTAAGATTGGAATTTGTTAGCACATGACTGGAATTTGCACAAAAAACATGTACCGGCTATCAAAAATTGCAATGAGTTGAATACCCTCAGGAAGGGAATAAAGAAGCCTCATCAGGTGTGTAAATAACGCCTTCCATGTTCCCAGTTCACACTCGTGCATGAGGTCGACAACGAGCATACGAAATGGGTCAAGGCCCAGTGGTCCAAGCTTCTCTATGAATCGATTCTGCGAGCGCCAATTTAAATCAATTGTAAAGTGGTACGAAATACATTACACACCAGAATAGCGACCCATGAGCCTTCTCCAAGGGCATCTTCGACTTTTGTACCGTCCACAGTATTCTCTAATCCATAGATAAACTGGCGCGCTTTGACAACCTTGGCCATGGCATATACTCGTAAGTCATTTATGCGGCTTTTCATGTCCCTCATGAGACCAAGACGATTGAATAAGCCTTTGGGTGTCAGGCAGCGAGGGCACGGACACAAGCCCATATCCTTGATTGTCGCAATTAAAGCCCTGAACATGTATCACTCAGCTAATGTGCTACGAAGATGATGAAAAAACTTACTTCTCAGGATAGTCAGCTGAATATGTGAAGATTCGAGGAAATACTCGCCGCATGATTCCATCGGTGCATTTCAAAACGATGCCGTGTCGATATGCGTAAAGGAAGTCTTCATCCAGTAAGATGTCCCAGCATGCATGAAACAACTCCCTGCGGCAATGGGTGTGAAGGGAGGCCATGCCGCTTTTTGAGATGCAAGGCAAGGTACTCAGAACATCTTTAATACTATCCAGAAGCTAACAAGGGCAGCTACTGTCAATGGCAGTCCATAAATGTACAATGAAGAAGCTCACCGAAGGTAAAAAGCCTACAAGATGACATGATCCTGATGTAGGCAACGAGCGTACATATTTTGTTAGATTTCCAAAGTAGACATAGAGCGGCCAGGCCTTGGCGGTTCCAAAATTTGCCAGGTGAGTAGCATCCAAAAAAAGCATGAAGCCTGCAATGACATGTTCTAATGAACATCCAATTTCCTTTGGCGACTTGTGGAGACTCTCCTGAGCCTCCAGCCAGGCGTCAGATGTATAGAGTTCATCGTATACTCTCTCTTCATGATGGTCAAGAGGATCCTTCCAAATGTGTTTGAAAGGAAAGAGATGGAATGCTGCCGCCTGGGCATCCGAAAATGCCGCACGCACAACTTCAACAAGTGGGCGATAATGAAACCCGGGAATAGTATGAGGCCTAGGTCCCTCCTCCTTTGACCTGACGGGGATGTCAATGGTGATGTCAGTTTCGATCCAATCATCTGGAAAAGTGATCCTCTTCCCACTCTCATCCACATCCAGCTCTCGTAGGTTCTGTTTCACCGAGAATCCCTTAAGATGCTCGGGGTCGAAATCATCTGCTAGCATCACGTCATTGACAAGGGCTGTGACCTTGGTTTCTGATACCCGATTACTACCAGTATTCATGCAGGACATAAGTTGATAGAGGGTCATATTAGCGAAAGGGAATGGTGGTGCAAAGACCTCCGGTGGAGAATCGCTTCCTTGAGCAGCTGCCGGACATGTTTGCGCCAGTAACGAGGAGGGAGCGAACTTATTTGGCTCGAAGGAAGGGCGTCGAGGATATACTCGACAGAGACCGAAGGAGTTATAGGTTGTCTGTAATGTGTCCCTTAGTGTTAAAAGAACACGTCAGATCCTGGATCGAGCTGGAAGTGCAGCCAAATCTTGAGTAGGGCTTTGACCATTGTTATTGGAGTGATTAAGATCCTCCTCTGAGGGCTCGATGTCGTCCAAGTGTCTCGGAATTCGTCTCCTAGGACGCACTTGCTCTAAAACAGTCCAACGATCACATATTACAGTGACCTATCTCCGTATAATACGAGGGAACGGACGTGCATAATATCCCGTATGATATGGGCCAGTGGACCATGGGCCCATGATAAAAATATCCTCGACTATGACGGATGGGCCGGGAGGCAAATTATTCCCGATGGAGGTGGGTGGGCCCATGCAGGGAATATATAGAGTAGATGAGTGGGCCGATGTACATGAATATTAGGTAGACGGGTGGGCCGAGGTAGTTGGATATTATGCAGATGGGTGTATTAAGGTAGATGTGTATGAGATAGATGGGTAGGTACTTGTTATCACATTCACGGGTGGGCCCAGACACATATTAAATTAGACGGGTGGGCCGAGGGTATTATAAAATATTGTATTAGACGGTTGGGCCCAGACGCATATTAATTAGACGGGTGGGCTGAGGGTGTTGTATGGGATGTTGTATTGGACGGGTGGGCCGAGGGTGGTATAAAATATAGATGGGTGGGCCCATGTGTATCATAATTGTAGACATGATGGAGCTGAGGTAGTTGTACATCAACCAAATCAGAGGAGGTAATAAATCAAAGTTACCAAGTTTCTGGAGCAGCAGGTGATCTCCTGACATGGCCTTTGATGGTGCACAGGTTGTCTTGCAGAATTTGGAATCCGGGGTGCAAAGCTTGTGTTGCCCTATGAGATGCCAAGTTCCAACCACCCAAATTTGGGTCAACCGTACCGACTTCCGAGTTCCGGGACCTGGGAGTTGACAAATGAATATCTGATAACCAGCACACTTCCAATCAGGTAGTATTTCATTGAGCAATGGATCATCCAAGGGGTCCCTTATCGGACTCGGTAGTCAATATAGGCAAATGATAATGAAAACATGAAAGTTGTTATTATGCTATT